TGAACGCTCAGCTGGGCAGAGAATGGCTGAGGCAGGGGAAAGTGGAGCTTCAGGGGTCACACACTCGCATGTGCACATGCTCGTGGCTGCCTCGCATTGCAGCCCGGCCACAGGTGACAGCCAGTGACCTTTAATCGGAGGCAGGGAACCCGTTGGACCGCTCGCAACCTGTTTGTGTTGCACCAAGTTGATCGACCTGAAAAACTCACAACAATGCAGAACTAAAACCTGGGGTTGGCGCTTCTGCGTCTTAGCCAAGAAATGCATGTTTGAAAAGGAAACATAGGCAGCCGGTGACGGAACGCCAACCCTTCCAGGGCATAGCCCTGGGGAAGGCTCCAACCCCCCGGCGGCCCTCCTCTGGATTAAGCAAATCTAGAGAACTGACGGATAGATCAACACAGAAGTGCTGAGTCACAGTTTGGTTAGAGGGGCTGCCTCATTTTTCTGAGAATCTCTCACAAACTCTGAAGCTTCGTGATAAACCTCGACAGGTTTACCCAAATTGAGATCTTATTGGTGATGCGACGTGCACACATGAGGGGATTATGGCCGCTCTGCAGGGGAATGCCCAGCACGTCTGAATGGAGAAGTCAGAGAGGGTGTTGATGAGGGCACGGAAGCCGCTCTGCGCCCTGAGAGAAGTTTTGCTTCACCCTGTGAGAAAATGCTAAAGCTGGCTTTAAGACTAAAAGTCCTGAGTGCAGCTGTACGAACTGCACCGTGCTGATGGTATTTCAGTAAAAAAACATGGTGTAGGGGATGGGCAGATGTGGGATCCATGTCATCCCAGTATGGTTACAAACTAATTCCACAACGATGACAAAAGGTGTCACCAAACGGTCAAATTGTCAGGGGAATTTTTTTTTTTTTTTTTGTGAAGGCATGTTTGCCAGAGGATCCCATGAGCGCCATTTCCTTTCGGTGCTTTTAATGAGGCACCAGTTCCACCAAATTAAATTACAGTTGCCAGCAGTATGTGGAAGAGGAGCGGAAAGCTGAATAATTTTGATTGTGTCTCAAAATAAATGAACGCTCCGAAGTATTTTCATTTCTTGACTTTCTTGTCATTTGAGATTTTAGAAGTTTTTTCCGCTGGATAAAGTCAATAAGATAAAATATCTGATTTACTGATGGTTGAATTGGAAGTTCATGAGCTTTTTATTCTTTTTTACTAGAAATTAGTTGCAGGACAGCAAAGGGCCATGTCTAGTAGGAACAACAGCCTCATTCGGCTGTTTGTAAGAGTGTTGCTGCCCCCTACAGGATGAACAGGCCTTTGCTAAAGCTGCCAGTTGTTTTGTACCACATCTTTCAAATGAATCATCTAACAATCCTGAGGGCAGGATACATTTTTTCATATCCAACCGTCAAGTTTGCACCAACAAAATGAGTAACACACAGCATTAGCCCACAGAGCGAGCCTTAATAACAGGGCGGTGGCAGTGCAGGAATCAGGCTTTATGCTTTAAACCTCTCTCTGATCCCGGAGAGACCGCTCACATTTCCATCTTTGCTGAAAAGCACAGTAATGCTGTAGTCATAACAAAGCCCGAACGTGACTGACACGGTGAAACGACGGCAGGATGATCGTTTGTCCTGCAGACAGGCCGTCCATGCACTGATGAATCACCTCATCTGTCTAATGAACGAGTGTACGCTTTCATTCCTGCAATAAGACATCAATCTAACCTCCAGCCACACATGACTAAATATAACATTTAAAAGAAATAAGCTGGCAAAGACAAGTCGCAGAGGGTTCCCAAAGACAACACTGAGTGTGCAGGGGAGAGAAACCATCTCCAGCTTTCTGCTGAGTATATCCAAAAGGGTTCGATGACTTTCACGCCAAATTTAGAAAGAAAACAGTCAAACAGATCAAGTTAAGTTCACGGTGTCTGGGATGAAACCCAGTAACAGAATAACAGCTGTTTGCCTGCAAGGGATGTGTGAAGCTGTTTTTAACGGGCCCATTAATGCCAGCGAGGGCTCACACTTTTTCAGAAAAGCCATGCAGGGAGAGCATGTTTTTAAGGTTTACTTTGAAGTTGCCAACAAGAGAGATGAAACAAAACACTCTTTTTTGTCTTACATTAATGAAAACGCTTGCTTTAAACTCTGGAATGGACAACACCAATGCAGCATTTTTAGGGGATTTATTCACAGTTCAGAGATCGGTTTGTGAGGCCAGTACGGATGCCTCTCTCTATCCAGTTTTGTTTCAGGGAATGTGTTGTTCAGGTCTTCGATGGTCATCTGTTCAAAGGGAACCATGTTCCTGAATTTGTCAAGCTGGAAAGAAGAGGAAGAACGAGGATAAATCAAAACCTGACAGACATTTGACCGAAAAACTCAATGATCATGCAGGTTTTTCAGAATGAGTTTGAAACCTTTTGCTTTTCTAAGCACTCCTACTGATCCTCTGCTAAGTGGGCGATGAACACATTTAATTTCTCCGCACATCTTTCCACAGTCAGACTTTATGAGGGTCCTCTAACTCAGGTCAGCGTGATGTGTGTAAGCAGACCGCTTCTGTTTAGAATGAGTGACTTAGCAAAAGGAGCAGGTAAAGGGGGAAACCTTGTGTTAAAAGCCCTAATGGGGTTCATTGTTCTTTGCTACTCTTGAGCCTTCAATAGCTGTACCAGGAAAACATTCTCTTAAAGGCTTTTTTAGAAACTTTTGCACACAATAAATAATTCCAAACATCTTTCTGTCCCATGAAAATGACCATACCTAAATGTTTAGTCATCCTACTGGTTAGTGTGTGCGCTGATGAATATGCTGAAAACAAAAGTAGAGAACAGAACTGGGCTCAGCATCAGTCAGAAAAGCAGTGGCAAGCTTTGTAATATCTAATTAGTGCAATGTAATGTGGAGTTGTTTTATGTTTACAATTGTTAATATTTGTGCTGAATGTTGTATTTGAGAAAAACCCCTGACAAGCACTCAAAGTGCTTAGATTTTAAATGTTTGTACAAGGACAGAAACATATTCAACAATAAAAGCATTCCTAAAGCGATAATGTCCCCCTAAATTTTACTTTATATTTTTAAAACAGTCATATTCATTCTATATTATAAGTACAGTTATAAGCTACTTTTACTTTTTTCCTTGTTTACAGTTTAAAATGAAGATTTGAAAGACTAAATGTCATTTTGCAACTTTTACTTGTTTTCCCATCTGGAGTTTCCCTAAATGTTTTGAAAACCCCTGATTTTTTTTTTTTTACAAATTCCAGAGTGATTTAAATTTGCTCAAATGGCAAGATGGCGGACTCTCACTGCAACGGACGAACAAGGTAAGGAGCCGAAGAGGGGGCTACCGGGCTACCGCGCTACCGGGCAACCGGGCTACCGGGGGCCGGAGGAGGGGCTACCAGGGCTACTTCGTCCCCGGGCTCCCGCGATACCGGGGTTCGGTGCGGTGCTACTCCCACAGTGATATCGAACCGGGGTCGTTTTCCCCAATATTCCCCGGTTTTCCCGGTATTCCCGGTTTTCCGTTTTTCGTATTTTACTGCGGTAGCGCGGTAGCCCGGTAGCCCGCCCACTTCCTTGTTTTTGTCACATGACTAAAAACAAGTCACATGACTAGAAACAAACCAATGAGAATCTAAACTAAAGCAGATTCAACCAAACATCTTAAAGATTTAGGGAGGGGGGG